ACGGATCAGATACAGAGGTAGTCAAGTTCAAATAAATTCACCAATAAGCAAAGGACAATACTTCCCAACAGATGTGACGGAATCCTCAAGACTCACTTTCTTCAGAAGTTCAAGCAAACCAAGTTTTTCATAATGTTCATAAGCAATCGTCCGCTCAGGATGAAACTTCATTTGAGAAAAGATGGTAGAAAATGAGTTTCAGCCAAAGGAGAATAAAACTGATGGGAGAAAGCATTACCAACATTAAGAGGACTGTCTAGACCATCACCCTCGACTTCAACAATGATTTTTCCTTTAGGAGGAGAAAGTTCCTCGTCCGCAGCATGTTTGTCGTCTGATTTCTCAGGTTCAGCAACATAGTTGGCAACCTCCCGTTCAACAGAATCAACATCAGAATCCGGAGATGATTCTCCCCCATATTTTGTGAGAGTAGGAGTACCAGCAGCAGATTCAGGCAGATGAACGACCTTCTTCGCCTTTTTCGTCTTTGGAGAAGCACTTATGGGGACCTTCTTGCGCTTCTTTGGAGATTTGACGACAGAGGGAGAAGCTTTCCTCCTTTGTCATTTGGTTCGGTAACTTCAGGTTGAGAAACCTTCGTCGTTGAGGATTTTTTAGGGCTTGGTGAAACCCTGGTTATTGATTTAGCAGGAGGTTGAATGTCCTCGATTGCCATGGTTGAGGGATTATGATCTGGTGGAGTTTTGGAACTTTGGCTTTGACGAGTTGAGCACCGAGATGGCAGAGGAGCATTCTTCTTCGGCTTCACGGTGCCCTGCTTGGATTTTGGCATTGTCGAGAAATAGGTATTCTCTTGAAGCATGAATGTTAGAGAGTTTTTAGAAAGATAAACAAATTATGGATTATGATTGATATGAGAGAGAAGCAAAGGTGATATGGATGATATAGGGAACTTAAATCACAGTTACCGAGGTCGGTTACAAGACGGCTCGGCTCATAATATTTGAATTTCAAAAATAATTTGACCAACACCAGCGCAAGTTATCAAAAACCGTTCCCTTCAATTCTGAGAAGATCTTTTACCAAGTTTGAACAAGTTACCATATATTACGCATGAAGTTTCAGATGAAAATACCGCACAAATCAAGCACCTAAAATAACCTTGAGCACAGGATCGTGAACCAATATGTATCACAAACAAAATCTTAATGCACATGCCTAAAATAGAGTAATCAACACGCAATAACCCAGATTTTCAAATCACGCAATATTGACAGAATCCATTAATTGATATGGATTATGAATCTTTCCAAATCAGTTTGAAACGAGCTCGACACTATCAAAAGTGGGGAGAATACATATTCTCTTCATGAACAACTCAGCCTTATTACTCCAACTTTTATATCTCGCGGAATTAATATAAGTTCATCCATCATTTTCTCTTAGCAAAAAAGTAAAATTTTTGTTTGCAATTCAGCCCCAATACTTATGATGAACTTACTCCGTTCTATGAACTTCCACACGTCACTTACTAATAATGACTATACGCCAATGTCAATCTCATTACTTGAGGTGTGAATCATCCCGCAAAAAGTTTTAATTTTAAACATGCTGAGAAGATACTAGGGTGTCCAACCTTATGACTCCAAAGAAAGTTCATTCAATAGAATGTCTACCTGTAGCTGTCACACCTCGATTATTGTTAAGCATGTAACTCGTTTCACGGGTGATCAATGAAACACCTCATGTGATAGTTGCTCGATGCCTATTTTCACGAGAGTAGCTCTTACAAGTATATGAAAATGATCATTATGACTAGCTCTCACAAATTGACCAGTTAGAATTCACAGACCATCCATCAACAAATTCAACAATACATAGATCATAGAAGAATCCAGGGATGAACCTACATACGAGAATGCCTAAAATGCAAAGAACGATCCTATATGCGACACAAATAGTTATATATATATACATGCAACTGACACAAATGCGTATATGTTATATAGCACACATTCCTAAAGATTTTCTCAGTGACATAAATTGTTTCGAATCAAGAGCTTTTGTAAAGATGTTAGCAAGCTGATCATCTGTAGGTACATGATCCAATACAACAGTTCCTTCTTCGACCAAATTACGAATAAAATGGTAGCGAATGTCAATATGCTTGGTACGAGAATGTTGGACAGGATTTTTTGAAATATTTATTGCACTATAGTGTTGTCACAGAAAAGTTGAGCCGAATGAACGTTCATACCGTACTCATACAAGATTTGTTTTATCCATACCAGCTGTGAACAGCAGCTCCCAGCTGCAATGTACTCAGCTTCAGCAATTGACAAGGAGATGAAATTTTGTTTCTTACAGAACCATGATACCAAGTTTGACCCTATATAAAAGCATCCACCAGAGGTGCTTCTTCGATCATCAAGATTTCCAGCCCAATCAGCATCGCAATAACCTACAAGATGTAAGTTCGTCTCAGCAGAGTAGAATAATCCATACTCAGATGTACCTCCAACATATTTGATAATATGTTTGACTGCCTTCATATGTGACTCCTTGGGGGCAGCCTGGTACCTGGCACACAATCCAACACTAAAGCAGATGTCAGGTCTACTAGAAGTGAGATACAAGAGACTACCAATCATACTCCGGTACAGTGTTTGATCAACCGATGTACCTTCATCGTCCTTGGACACCTTTACATGCATGCCCATGGGAGTTTGAGGAGCTTTTGAATTTTCAAGACCAAACTTTTTCACAAGGTTTTTTGCATACTTACTCTGATGTAAGAAAATACCATCCTTACCTTGCTTTACCTGAAGGCCAAGGAAGTATGAAAGTTCCCCAACAAGACTCATCTTGAACTCAGAAGACATCATCTTGACAAAATGATTGACTAACTTTTTGGAAGTTGAACCAAATATGATGTCATCTACATATATCTGAACGACCAATAGATCGTCATTCGTTCTGAGAGCGAAGAATGTCTGATCAACTCTCCGTCTTTTGAAACCCTTCACCAGAAGGTACATAGTGAGACGTTCATACCAAGCTCGTGGTGCTTGGTTTAGTCCGTAAAGAGCTTTCCTGAGTCTGAAGATATGATTTGGGTTTTTGGGATCCCTGAACCCTTCAGGTTGCTTCACGTACTCTTCTTCGTGCAAGATTCCATTCAAGAAGGCTGACTTTACGTCCATCTGGTAAACAATGAACTTCATTAAGCAAGCAATAGAAAAAAATATGTACCGACTCATGTCTAGCAACGGGAGCAGAGGTTTCATCGAAGTCAATCCCTTGAGTCTGAGTGTATCCTTGAGCAACTAGTCTCGCTTTGTTGCGGGTCATGTTTCCAAACTCATCAGTTTTTTTTTGAAGATCCACTTGGTTCCGATTACATTTCCCGAAGAAGGTTCATGTACTGCTCCCAGACATCGTTCCTTGAGAACTGCTCCAGTTCTTCTTGCATTGCTAGAATCCAACACTCATCTTTCAATGCTTCTTTGGCATTCTTAGGTTCAATCAGAGAGGTGTAACAAGTGAATTGAGACACTCCCATAAGTTCTTTATCTGAAACCTTTGAGTTACTGATTACTCTCTTGTTGATGTCTCCAATGACCAGTTCGGAAGGATGGTCTTTTTGAACCTTCAAGGGAGGATCACACTTAAGTTGAGTTGAACCTCCAGGTGAGACAGGAATGGAATATTTTGTCTGGGGTTCTTCACACTCATCAGATCCACTTGTTCGTCCGAGAGCTCCACTATCTATAGGACAATTTCCATCTTTAGTATCCTGCACATTGTCCACACTTTCACACAGATTAAATGACACAGATGGACCAACATTGGGAATTTTTTCATCAAAAATCACGTTCATGGACTCTATTACAATGGAGGTATTTGTGTTGTAAACACAATACGCTCGACTATTGCTAGAGTATCCAAGGAAAAAACCAATATCAGATTTTGCGTCGAACTTTCCAAGATGCTCTCGATAATTATATATATAACATTTATATCCAAAGACATGTAAGTGAATGAGATTTGGACTCTTACCTTTTCAGAGTTCATAAGACGTTAAACCAATACCTCGACGAAGGTACACACGATTTATGAGGTAGCATGTTGTATTTACTGCCTCAGCCCACCATCTAGACGAAATCTTCTTAGAGTGTAACATGACTCTGTCCATTTCTTGCAGAGTACGATTCTTTCTTTCTACAACTCCATTTTGCTGTGGAGTTTTAGGAGCTGAGAACTCGTGACAAATACCCAGAGAGTCACAAAACTCAGTAAACTCAGAATTTCAAATTCTTTCCCATGGTCACTTCGAATATTTATTATAGGAAAGCTTTTCCCAGTCTGAACCTTCAAACACAATGACTTAAAGGCAGAGAATGTGTCAGACTTTTCACGCAAGAAATCTACCCAAGTGTATCAAGAAAAATCATCAACGCACACAAAGATATATTTTTTACCTTGATAGCTTTCTACCTAAATGGGACCCATGAGATCCATGTGTAGAAGCTCTAGGATCTATTTAGAAGCAATGTGGTTCAGTGACTTGTGGGGTGCCCTCGTTTGCTTTCCTAGTTGACAAGGTTCGCAAATTAGCTGGTCCTTTATAGCAATCTTTGGAACACCCCTGACTACACCGGCATTGGTCAATTTAACAAGGTGAGAGTATCCAATATGCCCTAAGCGTTGATGCCAGATTTCAGGTTCTCTTACACTTTAGAAAAGGAATATTTCGTTAAAATCAACAAGATAACAGTTATCCGTTGAACGAGAACCTGTAAGTACACAAGAACCTTCACTGTCTTTCACATAGCACTTATCACATGAAAAACTGACACTAAGGCCTTGATCACAGAGTTGACTCACACTCAAAAGATTTGACTTTAGTTCATCAACAAGTAACACATCAGTTAATTTAGGTAAACCACCCAAATTTAAATAGCCTATTCCAATAACCTTATTGCTCACACTATCACCAGGTGACTTTCCCATTTGAACCGAACTGAATGTTCATCAAGTAGGAAGGTTCCCCAGTCATGTGTCTAGAGCAGCCAGTGTCCAGATACCATTTACCTTTCAAGGAAGTCCTGAGAGACAGAACAGAGGCAAAACAGTTGAAGGATTTCTTAGCAACCCACACTTGATGAGTTTTGGCACAGTTATTTGGGAGGGTTCTGGCATGAACCTTCACTGGAATGCCAGACTGGTTCCATCCCCTAACATTACCTGTACAAAGATCATGCTGCATTTTATAACATTTTGGTCTTATGTGACTAGTTACTCCATAGTAATGACAGATAGGAACAAAGCTGCGATGATTTTTACTGACAGGTTTCTGCATAGGTGCATGAACCTTCAAAGGAGAGTTTGGAGAGAGAGAGGTTTACTTACAGTGCTTTTGACAAACCTGTCAAGTACGTTTCTGGAGGGTTTCCCATACAGGTTCATACCTCCAATTCCAGGTTTGTCCCCAAAACCAAGGCCAGTATGTTTTGAATTTGAAGTCCCGGGTGAGGATTCAGGATTGTTTTCCTTGCCTGTGTACCCTATTCCAGTAAGATCTCCTTGTTGTTTCCCCAAGGAAAGAAGTTCATTCAGATATGCTTTTTCCTTGTTCATTTTTCGAACGACCTCTGCAGTTCGGCTCCTCATCAGAATTTGCTTTCAGTTTACTCTCGTGCTAGCATGTTCGTTCATCAGCCGATTAGCTTCGGTTTTCAGCATCATGATTTCCCTGTTCCGTTCCGCAAGAAGATTCAGAGTAGAAAATAGTTCGGATCTCAAGCTTTCAATGGTCTGAGCCTTTTCTAGTCCATCTTGCTTGGCAAGCTTGACACTGCTCTCAAGGATGTTGGTTCGAGCCTTTGTTGTATCCAATTCACAATCTTTAGCAGCAGTGGAAGAGGACGCTTGTTCGTTCAACACCCTGTTTGCTCTTGAAAGCCTGAACACTTCGTTTTGAAGCTTCTGTAAGGCTTCGAATGCTTGAGTACACTTTTCAATGGCAAGTAAGTGTACAGGATCAACACACACATTTTGATCTGCTTCATCTTCAGATGCTTCAGTTTCTTTTAAACTTTCTTCAAACTTGGTCAGGACGTGAGAGGTAGTGAGACACGTGACCTTCTTGACTGAGGTATGAATTGCCATGTTGCTCGTGTGCGAAGGAGGTTCGTATGTGCCTTCTTCATCTGAATATTCCCAGGTTGCCTTCAGAGACTTAATCTTTTTCTTAAGGTTAGCACACTCATACTGAAAGTGTCCATAACCTCGACACTCCCTGCATTGATCCTTCTCAACTCGTTGTGATTCGGGTATTGAGAGAGACAACTACTTTTCTTGTCCTGCACTACATTCTTGCTGAAATTGTAGCCCTTTTTTCTAGCAAATTTATTCTTGTACAACCTTTGACTCAACTTTCCGCAGTTTCGCGCAATTAGCGTTAGTGCTTCTTTTAGCTCACAGTCGCCTGCCAACGGACCTTCATCGTCATCGCTTTCTTGTCTCTCCTCAACTACAGCAGCTTTGAGAGCTAGGCCCTTACTTTTGACTTTGTCATAGTTGTTGTTGATTTCAAACGTCCTGAGCTCTCCGAGAAGTTCATCAACATCCAGAGACGCCACTCTTTGGAAACTCTCAAGATCTGTGATTTTCTCTCTAAACCTGGGAACGACGGTTCTCATGATTTTTTGCACTTGACGCTTCTCAGAAATTTTTCTCCAAGCTGTTAGAACCCACGAGGATCTCGATATGCACAAATCACGGACAAACATTCAACATAAACCTATGCGCAGCGGATCTAAAGGTTTGATGAAGAAAACTTACTGCTTAAAATTTATGTAGATCTGGCTGGCCCAGACAGCTGACCGCAAATCAAATCTTCTCGGAATCGAACAAACTTGACCAATCCAGAAAGCTGACGTCACGGCGAAGTCAACGGTGTTGACCGATCAGAAATCGGACCTCTCACGCTCTCTCACGCGCCGTTGCAAGTCCCAGCAGCTGCTACCTTCTGGTGTCGCGTGCGGGCGCGTGCGGCGGCTTCCGGCGGCGATCTCGACGGCGATCTCTTCGTCTCGTCGTCCTGGTCATCGTGGTATGGTCACTTGCTGGTTTTGGTCTCCGGTTTGGATGTATGATTGGAATCTCTATATACCTTAAGATCTTCTACTTTATTCTCAAACAGCTTTCTAGATCTTGTATCAGTGGAACACAAGAAATAGAAGAACTCCTTGAAAGAGAGAGGCGTCTGTACCGTCTGTACTGGCACACTATCAGTGTCACGTGTTGCAGTACTATGTGATGTATCTACTTGCGCACTCGGTGGGGAACTATCGATATCTCTCCCTAACTCCTCTAGGACAAGTTTACTACTGGGCTTGTGATTTATGATATAGTCTTCTTCCAAGAATCTAGCGTTCGTGCTAACGATCACCTTCTGATCCTCAGGACTATAAAATAAACCACCTTTCGTTTCCTTGGAATAGCCGACAAACAGTCTCACTCCTGATCGTTTCTCCAACTTGCCAGCCTCCTGCACTAAGATATGTGCAGGGCAACCCCAAATTCGAATTTGTGAGAAACTAGGCTTGCGCCCTTTCCACAACTGTCCTATACTCCTTGAATTTCTCAAAGCATTCGGACTTGCGGTGCA